CTCTAGGAGCATCCTCAATATTTACCAGGCTGTTTTTAGAATTGTGGTTAATTTAAAGATATAGATTTTTCGGCATGCCTGAGGAGTCCTCCTACCAAAAAACCCTACCTTGTCCATGGGTGGCCTGGATGTGCTGCTTTTGTGATCATAAAGTGGGGGAGCAGCTACTTTAATACTGAGGCATGATCTTTCTTGAAATCCTGAATCTGTTTCTGCCCTCAAGGGGAAGGACTGCATTTCCTTACCCATCACCAAATTCAGCCAAATTTAGAATTCCCCAAACTGTCTTTGACTGCCACTCACTTACTGTAATTGTGCATTCCCACCTCTTGTTACATCCCTAGTCCATTCTGTTGACTGAAAGATCTAAAAGAGGAGCTAGCTTGGAAATGCTGGACCAAGCACGATGCTCTCTCTCATGTTACTTTTATCCACTCATTGCACATCTATACCACATGGCAGATTATTTATCTTTTAAAAAAATCTCATTTACATGGGATTTTTAAATTTAAAATCAGATTTTAAAAATAGCTTTATGTTTGTATTAAACTTAGGATTCATTTTAAAGTAGGTTATTTTTAAAGAGGTACTTATCTCTCAAACCTGAATAATTACCTAAACACAGAGTTAATAGCTGATTTTCTACATAAAAACAGAAAATATTCAACTTCTAAGCTTCAGCATTATAAATGACACAGCACTTAGTTGTATTTATCATTGGGGCTGACCAAATCATCACAGGTACTATTCTTTGCTTCATCAGGTAGAGCCAGAGAACCCCCATGGCCTTGTGCTCCTGTTTTATGTCTTCTGACCAGAAAACCCCACTTCTCAGCTTATGAAGGGCTGTGGCTTAGTGGACAAGCCTCTGCTTTGCATGCAGAAGGTCACAGGTTTAGTCCTTGGCATCTTCACTTAAAAAGGACTAGGCAGTAGGTGACGTGAAAGACCTTCACCTGGGATCCTGGAGAGCCATATTCAGTCTGAGTAGACAGTATTGATCTTGATTCAGTATTGGTCTGATTCAGTATAAGGCAGCTTCATGTGCAAGACAGTATCAATAAAACAGCATGGGCATTTCCATTGGGGAAAATAGCACTTTGTTGTCAAGTGATCAAGAGCCTTGCTTATGGAAAGAAATGGTCACCTCCTATAGCCCAATTAGGCTTACCAAACGCCGGCGGGGGGAAACTATTTCCTGGTAGGATGCGTGCCGCGGGGGACGGCTGTGCGCGCTGCACCCGCCGTCGCCAGGATGTGACGCTCCGCGTTACCCTGGCAACGGGACCCAAACAGCCCCGTTGCCAGAGTAACGCGGAGCGTCACATCCTGGCGACGGCGGGTGCAGCGCGCACAGCCGTCCCCCGCGGCACGCATCCTGCCAGGAAATAGTTTTCCCCCGCCGGCGTTTGGTAAGCCTAAGCCCAATCCTGTCCAGGTTTACTCAGAGATGAGTCCCATTTTGTTCAATAGGACTTCCTTCTAAATCAGTGTTCAAAGGATTGCAGCCCTAGTCTTTCAACAAGTGATCTTGGTTAGTATTCCTGTCTTTTTGGCTCTGCATGGAGGCTTCAGGCCCAAAGGCTTTTGCTCCTGTTTCACATAAGGGTTCTACTTAGTTGCAAACTAAAGTGTTTTAATTGTTATAGCAACCAGGTAAAATGTAATCAGGAATACAGGTATTTCACAGTGAGAAACCTGATTAGAATTTTATCATACCCTTCACTCCAAAGAGCTGAAGAAAGCATATATGGATCCTTCTCCCCATTTTATCCTCACAACCAACCTGTGAGGTAGGCTTGCCTGAGGGTGGATGACTCACCCAAGGTCACCTGTTGAGCTTCAAAGGAGAGTGAGAATTTGGTCTCCCCTGGCTACTGAGATTTGGGAGTGATCAATTTTATTTATTTATTTATTACATTAGATTTGCTAAGGCCGCCCTTCCCTACAAGTAGGGCTCAGGGTGGCTTACAACATATAATATACAATTTCTCTGATTAAAATCTAGATTAAAACAACCAATAAATATCAGTAGATAAGAACCATGTACATATACATATACAGGATGGTGGGAGAAAAAAAAATTCAACTCCCCAACCTTCCTGGGGGAAGGGGTTACAAGGGATGGGGGGAGTGTATGAGAGTGTCCCATCACTGTCCTCACCCAAAGGCCTGGCGGAACATCTCTGCCTTACATGCCCTGTGGAAAAGTAATAACTCCTGCAGGGCACGGGTGTCCTCCAGCAGAGGGTTCCACCAGGTGGGGGCCAGGGCTGAGAAAGCCCTGGCCCTGGTTAAGGACAGCCAGACTTCTCTCGGGCCGGGGACCACCAGGAAGTTTTTATTCCCTGAGTGTAATGCTCTTCCAGGGGCATACTGGGAGAGGTGGTCCTGAAGGTATGTAGGTCCCAGACCGCTGAGGGCCTTGAAGGTCAAAACCAGGACCTTGAACCTGATCCAGTGCTCCACTGGAAGCCAGTGCAGCTCATGCAGCACTAGTTGGATGTGTGATGTTCGGGGGGTCTCCATGAGGGCCCGCATGGCTGCATTTTGGGTCAGTTGGAGCTTCCAGGTCAGGAGGAAGGGGAGGCCTGCGTAGAGCAAATTACAATAGTCTAGCCTGGAGGTGACCGTTGCATGGATTACCATGGCTAGGCTGGGGCAAGACAGGTAGGGAGCCAGTTGCCTAACCTGGCGCAGTTGGAAAAATGCCAGCTTGGCAACCTTCGCAACCTGTGCCTCTGTAGACAGGGAGGAGTCCAAAGTCACACCTAGGCTCCTGACGGTCTGTGCCAGTAATAAAGGCGCACCCTCAAGAGTCGGAAGCTGGCAACCCAATCAAGGCCATAGAACCTCTGTCTTACCTGGATTCAGTTTCAGATGACTCTGCTATAACCATCTCACCCCAGCCTCCAAACCCTCGGCTAAGTTCCCGGGAATGGTATCTGACTGTCACCCATCAACAAAACAGCTGGGTGTCATCAGCATATTGATGACAACCCAGCCCGAAACTCTACACTAGCTGGGTGAGGGGGTGCATATAGATGTTAAACAACATTGGGGGAGAGCAGGGCCCCCTGAGGAACCCCACATTTCAGTGGGTACCTTGGGGACACTGTCCCTCCCAGCGCCACCCTCTGTCCCTGACCATGGAGAAATGAGGTAAGCCACTGCAAGGCTGCCCCGCGAATTCCAGCATTGGCAAGGTGGTCGGACAGCGGGTTGTGATCGACTGTGTTGAATACCGCTGTAAGACTGAGAAGTATCAGCAGCGCCGACCTGCATCGATCCAGCTGTCTACAGCAATCACCCATGAGGGCGACCAATGCTGTCTCCATCCCATGGCCAGGGTGGAAGCCAGATTGAAATGGATCCAACACCGATGCGTCATCCAGAAATTTCTGGAGCTATTTTGCTGCCGCTCTCTCAATTACCTTGCCCTGAAATGAAAGATTTGAGACTGGGTGGTAATTGATCCATGGGATCTAGGGCTGGTTTTTTTCAAGAGCGGAACAACCACTGCTTCCTTCAGCCCCCCTGGGAAAATCCCAGAGCCCAGGGACAGATTGATAATGTCTTCAAGGGGGCCTCGTAGCTTCTCATTGCTGGCCTTCACCAGCCTCGAGGGACATAGATCCAAGAGGCAAGTGTTTGGCCTGACAGCACCCAGAATTCTGTCGACATTGGTTCAGGAGAGCCGGCTGAAGGTGTCAAAAACCAAATCCAGAGGTGGCCAAGGGGCCTCCAGTTCACATATTGTACCAACACTGGCTGGAAGGTTGCGGTGAAGCAACAAGACTTTATCTGCAAAAAAGCTCACAAATGCCTCACAGCTTAGGGTTGAATTTCTATTATTTTGGGTCCTCTCAGAGAGGGATGTGAGGGACCTAATTATCCTAAACAATTGTGCTGGGCAAGAGCTAGCAGACGCGATGGAAGCTGCATAGAACTCTTTCTTTGCAGCCTTCACTGCCATCTCATAGGATTTCATAAACGTCCTACAAGATGTTCTCGTTGCTTTGTTGCGAACTCGCCACCAAATTTGCTCCAGTCATCTAAGCTCATGTTTCATCCCCCTGAGTTCCATAGTGTAGCAGCAGGATGTTTTTTGACAGAGGCGAAGAGGACATCAGGGGCGATTTCGTCGATAGCTTCAGAGAGCCGGCCATTCCAGTCCTCTATAAGCTCTTCTAAGGAATTGCCGGAGGGCATTGGTTCCCGCAGAGCATTCTGGAATCCAACTGGATCCATTAGTCTCTGTGGGTGAGCAAAAATTTGCTCGCTGCCAAGACAGGGTGGGATGGGTGGGATGGGGACACCCAGCCAGACCTTCAGGGCACAAAAATCTGACCATGGTACCAACAATTTGGCTATCAGATCCATATCAACCCCCGCTCCAAAGATCAGATCAGATCCAGTGTTCCCACAGAGCATTCTGGAATCCAACTGGATCCATTAGTCTCTGTGGGTGAGCAAAAATTTGCTTGCTGCCAAGACAGGGCGGGATGGGGACATGGTACCAACAATTTGGCTATCAGATCTATATCAACCCCCGCTCCAAAGATCAGATCCAGTGTGTGGCCTGCTTGATGTAAGGACCCTGATATAATCTGGGTGAGCCCTAGGGCTGCCATGGGTGACACCAGGTCCACCGCCTGCTATGAGGAGGAAAATGCATTGTACCTTTGCTTTATTCCTAATAGAGGGAGGAAACCAAGTGCAGTGGGTCATACCTTCTCTTCCCTTTTCAGAGAATCAAAGTGCAATTGAACAATGGGGAACATGGCTTTGACAATCAAGTGATGAACATGAAAACCATATTCCGGGCTGAAGGACCAGCCTTCAAGAGAGGTCTGGAGGTGGAGCCTTTTGAAAGTGTGAATGTTTATGCTCTGCTTTGCGAACTGCTGGAGATCAAACCAGAGCCCCACGATGGATCCTTGAATGCCACATGGCACATGCTGCTCAAGTCTGCAGGTCTGGTTTTACTGTTTAGTACCCCTTCACAGTGCTTTAAACAAACTAGCAGGCTGCATTAAGGTACTGGCGAGCCCTAGGTAAAGGATGAACTAATGGGAACCCTTGTGTACCCTTTAAAGAGAAGCCACTGGAAAATATGTCTTATGTTGAGAAAACCATCCCTGCCCTTCAGCTATAGATTTGTTTCAGCATTATGGCAAATTTACAGAGCTAGGATACCAAAATGATTTAAACTCATTGCTCCAATTAGTGTGCCAAATGTTTAGCTATTGCTGCCTTTAATTCTTCAAATCCAGTTCTGAAATTTAACAGCTGGTACAGAGATGCAAATTTTAAACAATCACAGTGTGTGCCAAGAGCCAGGAAAATATAATCAAGATTTGTAAAATTAAACGCAGCATGGGGAAGTCAGCCCAACAGCTGAACAGAAGAATGAACCTGGGCTTCCTTATTCAAGGTCCAACAGCCTAACCATTACACAATAATGTTCAAATTACTGAAGACAGTAATGTATCCTCATGGGATACAATGAGGGCTGGGAAAGTGAAAAGCCCATCCTTTCTGCCCTTGTAGAAGGTGGAAGGGTTCTCTTCCACATTGTGGCATGTTTGATCTTCCTGGCTGGAAGAGACATTCCCTGTCATAAGCTTTCCTTACAAGGAACAGGCACAAATGGAGGCATTCTGGCAGGGGCAATGTTCAGCCCTGTTACCCATCTGTGTTGTATGGTCTTGCCAGCTTTCCAGCTGCCCATTCATCTCAGGTGAAATTATCTGCAGATTCAACAGGGCCCTCTAACCCCTAGAGCAGGACTCTTGTGCCCTGGCCACCAGCTGAGGGATGCCTCCAACGCCAGCTGTGTATCTTGTCTAGAGAGGGGCAGCATCAGTCCCATCAGCTGCACACATGGCCTTGGCTCTGCCAGCACACTCTGGTCACTAGGATTCCTCGAATGTCTGCCTGTTCAGCTCACATCCTGTTCACCAGTCACAATGAGGCAGCAAGTGTTTTTTGTATGGTCTACCTGTTCACTGACCCATTCATGGCTATTTTGCAGGTTGCTTCAACATATTCTTTCCTAACAGTAGAGTACAGAGTGATGATTTTTCCCCACATGCACAGTCTCACACAGCCCAATGGAGTTCTACCATGCTCCCTCCTGGTAAACGATTAATGCATTTTGTCAGGCAACTGTAGACAGTTAAATCTGTCATAAATAAACACAGGGTTGTTTTTTTTTAACCAATCCATGTTCAATTGTTTTACCAAGCCCTAGGTACTGAGAATATCCCCATACTCTTGCCTCTGTAAAGAGATCATGAAGAGTTCCTTGTACCCTGGCTGCAGTCTGGTCCGTTGCATCCCAAAACTGCCCAAACATGCATGCATGCCTCTTTCCTTGACCATAAGAAGCCCACCCAGACACCCCTCCCTGGCCTACCATCAGCATTACATGTCACTCTTGCATACTGTACTCTGAGTCCAAGACCTACTAGAAATATTAGGGATTTACTGGCTCCATAGAACTAAGGCATTAATATGCAATTATTTTTTTCTACCAGCCAACATCCCACAAAACAAGAAGTACTTAGAAGCAAAATAACAGTGTGTTTTTTTTAAAAAAAAGGAGGATTGTATTTACCTACTTGAAGTACTGGGGATAAATTGGATGAGGGACAGTATTACATCTCATGTCTACTTCACCCGTACTTAAACGATACTCATACCATCTTCTAGGACTAAGATCTCACCAAGAAAAGTTTAGAGTTCACATGGTGCAGCAGATATTGCAAGGCATCTCTCTCAATATTGACTCACAGCTGTGGTAACTGGCCCATATGCATGGGAGTGCCCATGAGTACCCAGCACCTCCCAAAAAAACCAACCTGGCACTCTTCCCAAACAGCCATGCCTCCCACTCCCCCCTCTGAAGTGCCCGTTGACCAAGTCCTTCATCTTGAGCAGCCTGCCAGTTGATCAGCGGAAGCCAGGGGGAGATTGGAAGGCACGACTCTCTACCAAGCTGAACCCTTCACTCTTGTTAGTCAACCTCCTCTGCCTCTTGCTTTCCCTCAGGAGCTGGGGAAGTTGGCCTGCGGCAAGTCTGAGGGGAGCCTGCTCTGATTTGCCATAGACTCCTGCCATTGGCTGGTCTGGCAGGCGGTGCGTTTCCTACTTAAGAAAGGCTGTGGCACGTGGCCCCTGAGAAAGGGCAGCCAACGGGCACGCCAGTCTCCCACATGCAGTTGGGCGACTCTTCAGTGCAGGCTTTCCTTCTCTTGCTTTGCCCTCCTACTGCCAGGACAGCAACTTTAACTGGAGCAGAGGGAGGGAGAGCAGCCCAAGAGAGACAAAGAGATTGACTGACTCACTGACCTCTGCAGCACCCTGGAGTTAGGAAATGGAAAGAGGTGATTTTTTTAAAAAAAGAAAAGCTAGAGATGCTGGCAGCTTCGAATTCCAGATGAGGAGAGGCTCCAGCCAGTCCTTCCCCTCCCCCTCCCCCCCAAACCCCACCCTCCCCAGGTGGCACCATTTCTGGGTACAGGGTTGTGGGGTAATCTGGGAGACAGCGGAGCAGACAAATCACAAGACCTGTCTGAGGCTCAGTACAATGCTGGTGCAGTCAGACTTACTGTAGACCCCCAAAGATATTGGCAAGCCTTCTGCCAGTCATATAAAGATTAAAGAATCTTTATATTCAGTGTACAATTACAATGCAATACTTATTGGAGTTAGCTGTGGGGGGAAAGGTATAATTAGGTCTGAAAAGCATTGCACACATTTGCAGATTACGTTGCCAATGGGTACTAGGTATAATGGGGCTAGTGCTCAGTCTGATCCTTCTCATTAATGCTGACAAACAAGGAACAAAGGGCTCAGAATAAACCCCTCCCTTCTTGCCTTGTGCTGTTATATACTCTGTAGAGCCCAACAACAAGTATTTTAAATTCTATGAAAAAGGTACACAAAGTGATTGTGTGCTTTTACACATCTTGGACTGATAAACTAAAGGGCAAGATACATATTACATGTGAAACAAGTCAAGTCAGGGAGCCGAACCTGGCTCGTGTGGGTAGGGATGGGCATGAACCACATTTTTGCGGTTCAGTCTAGTTCGTGGTTTGTGGCTGAACCACAAACTGAACCACAAACCAGTTCCTTGGTTCACAAACCAAACTCACTCATATCGGTTTGTGACCCCTTTCTGCTCCCTGCCACTTTTCACGGGGAGCATAAAGCAGGGGTTTAAATGGCTTAGAGCCCTTTAACCCACTGCTTTTTGCTCCCCACCAAAAGTGGCAGCAAGCAAAAAGCAGGTGGTGAAATGTCTCCAAGCCATTTCACCACCTGCTTTCTGCTCCAAGCCACTACATGATATTACTATTCTTTTGTCAGAGGGCCCCTGACTCCCATTGGGGTTACTTTAGGACAACCATAATATACTACTGTCAACTAGACAGAAGTGGAGAATTAGCTTGGGAAACCTAATTCCAACTCGGTAATTTTGCAATACCAATCAATCTCAGGTGTAGCTCCTTCCATTAAACCCAGACTGTGTGGCATGAGAAGCAAAACCTCCAATAGGCAGAGCTTAAATTTATAGCCCTTGGCACAGACTATAGCAGAGGTGTCGAACTCATTTGTTATGAGGGCCAGAGCTGACATAAATGTCACTTTGCCATGTGTGCCATAAAACATAATGCCAGGTACCAGAGATATAAACTGTATAAAGGACAGCAGCTGGTAAGCTCCGAGTTGGTGTATCCTTACTGCAAGGCCCCATGGGCTGGGAGGGGGTGCCAAGGAAAACCCATATGGGCAGACTGGAGAGCCAGCCGTGCAGCACTGGGCAGACGCTCCCACACTGCTTGACTGTTGCAGATGAGGTTGTTCTGCCTTGCTGAAGCCACAATCGGAGTGACTCCACCCACTTCCCTCTCTGAGCAGATTCCTGTTCCCTCCCTTGCACTAGTAGCTTGCGGGCCACATAAGAGCCCTGGATGGGCTGGTTCTGGCCCCCGGGCCTTATGTTTGACACCCCTGGACTATAGCATGAATGTGCATGATCTGCACTGGGCTGGTCTAGATGCTCAAATTTCATCTCATGTGGTACATTTACAATACCCGGGGATGCATTCACATGGAAAGCTTAACAAACAACTCAGTCTTTCCTCTGGATGTAGGTTTGGCCTCCCTAAGCACTTTCACAACAACTGAGAAATGCACTGCTTGATCACAGAACCTGGGTCCATGGAATCCTAGGGAAGGATCAAGTCTCATATTAAAGTTCTGTATGAATACATCTCCAGAAACTGTCAGCATGTCAATTGTATAGTTCAAATGAAAGATGTAGGAACTCTGGTTGTACAAGACTATCAGTGTATGTAATGTCTTACAGAGAATTTGAGCATTATTGCAAGATATGAAATAAAAATATCCACTGTGGGAAAGCTCACACCACTGAATCTCCCATACTGTATTTATTTTTATTTTACAAAATTTACATCCTGCCTTTAGAGTTGCCAACCCCAATTTCAGGGCCCCCAATCAGCCACCAACCAGCTGGCCAGTGGGGGAGCTCCTCCCCTGAACAGCCATGCCCAATGTGCCCAGCGCTATGATGTCACCCGGAGGTGATGTCATCACGTCAGGCATGTCAGGTGGGGGACACTCTAGCATTCAGCTAAAAACTCTATTGTGACCATAGAGTTTTTAGCCAAATGCTAGAGCATTCCCGTTAGAATGTGCGCAGCATGATGATGTCACTTTCTGAAGATCTAGGGAGAAAGCCAGGAGCCCCCCGCCATTAGACAACACTTGACAACCCTACCTGCCTTTCTGTCCTCACAAGGGCCATCAAGGCCCTAAAACATACATGATAACATCACATTTTAAAACCATTAAAAGTAACCCCCACACACACACTAAACAAACATAATTAAAACAATTGAAAAGAGTTAAAATAAGCTTTGAAAGTCAAGACCAGCACCTTGACTTGTTTCTGGAAACAAACTGGGAGCCAGTGTAGACGGACCAAGACTAGAGTGATATGGTTTCTACAAACCTCTCCAGTCAGCATCCTGGCTGCAGCATTCTACATCCACTGAAGGTTCCAAATACTTCTCAAGGGCACTCTCACATAGAACATATAGCATTTAATCCAATCTAGATGTAACCAGGGGATGTACCACAGTGGCCAAATCTTTTCTGCCCAGGAAAGGCCACAGCTAGCTAATCAGTTGAAGTGGGTAAAAGGCTGGCTAGAGCTGCCATCTGCTTATCTGGCACTAGGCCTGGGTCGAAGAGCACCCCCAGACTACAGATCTGTTCTTTCAAGGGGAGTACAACCCAATCTAGAACAGGTGTCACCTTAAATCCTGGGCCAGATCTTCTGCCCACAGTAGTACTTTCACCTTGTTGAGATTAAGCTTCAGTTTATTAGCCTGCATCCACTCAGAAACTTCCTGCAGGCACCAGTTCAGGGTTTCTACAGCCTCCCTGGGATCAGCCAGAAATCTGAGATAGAGCTGAGTATAATCCACATATTAGTGGCCACCCATTCCAAATCTCTGGATGACTTCACCCAACTGTTTCATGTAGATGTTGAAAAGCACAGGAGACAAGATGGAACCTTGTGGGATTCCGTAGCCCAAAGGCCAAGGAGCTGAACAGCAGCCCCCAGCACCACCTTCTGAAACCTACCCTCCAGGTAGAACCAGAACTACAACAGAATGGTGCTTCTCAATCCCAGCCCAGATAGGCAATCTAGAAGGATACTCTGATCGATGGTATCTAAAGCTGCTGAGAGGTCCAGGGGAATCAACAGAGTCACACTCCCTCTGTCCCTCTCCTGGCACAAGTCATTCACCAGGGTGATCAAGACTGTTTCAGTCTGATAACCAGGCCTAAATGCAGATTGGAAGAGATTTAACAATATTGAACTCATCAATATAGTAAAAAGTTGATTTGAATGAGGTGGTACCAGGGATTCCTCTAAGATGAGTTAGTATGAGCTAGCTCAGTTTTTTAGCCTCTGCCTCACACATTTTTGTCTTCGCTCAGGAAGGATGGCTCCAGAGGAAACTAATTTATGCAGTAGCCAAATTACTTGCTCACAATTTCAGTGCCAGAAGCTCACAAAGTACAATTTTTGCTCACAAGACTCCACAGTTTAGAGGGTGCATTGGTACACAGTGATCCAGCCACCACCTGTATGGTCAAAGCTACACTTTTCTCAGGAGCCATACAAGAATTTGTGCATATGTGTGAAGCATGCCTTGTCGTGTGCAGTGGTAATTGCATAGATCCACCTAAAGCATGAACTGACCCAAAGTCACCAACTGTGAGACACTCTTGTTTAAATAACGACATCTAGTGGCCATACCTATGTATCACTGCCTTGTTCTGCTTCCATTAGCGTCAGTCCCTTGGTTTGAGTTCACTGTTTTGAAATTGAAGTATTTCTCCACATTTTTTTCTTCCCATGATGGTTAGGTTTTCCTCTGAGCTGGAAGCAGACAGGAGAAATTCAAGAACTGGCTGCTGACTCCCCACTTGCCTAATGCAGGAATGACCTGGGACAAGAGCAGATCGCTGTCTCACTTTGCTGTCTTTTCCATTACAGGAACGGATCAGATTTCCCCTCCAGGAACGGATCAGATTTCCCCTCCTCATTCTACTTGGGAACTGGCGTTGGTGCTGAGCTTAGTTGCCTGCCTGGGATGTGTGATTGGGATTGCTTGCTATGTGTTGATGTAAGGGTGTCCTCCAACTTCCCAGGAAAAATGGTAGCCAGGTATGAAGAACTGGAACTTGGCTTATTTGTTCCAATAGAGAGCCAGGCCCAGAGGCCTTTACAGAACATAGCGACCCTCTTAAAAATATTTCCATCTTATTCTAATTCCTAGACACCACTAGAAGGCAAACGGCTCAGCCACAGAGAGCCAGGTAGTTTTGCATGTGCTTTAATGTAGAATTTTAGTTCTAACACAGAATGTATGAGGCAGCCAGTGCTGTACACATGGATTCCTTTTTTAAAATTAATATTCTTCTAATATTTGAAAAGCTGGAATCCTATCAGTTTTTGTCAGGGGAAAGAACTGAATCTAGCACCCAGCTTCCACCTTCTAAACAGCTAATTGGCAGGGTTTCACCTTTAGAAAGAGAGCTATTTGTGTGCCACCCACCCACCCACCACCGATCAGTATATGGACCTCCTCATCCATTCCACTTCCACTTGCCTCTAGCTGGATCAGGGCAGATGATTCAAACCCAGTCTTTCTTGCTTTATACACATGTACTTGGAAATGCATTTAAACTATTTATATCCCACCTTTTCCCCTTAGACTCAAGGCACTGCTACCCAGCAAGCATCCACGCAGCAAGAAGTATACATGCATGACCATCATGCATGGTGATTCATTCCTATTTCAAGACTGTCCCCTGCCATGTAGAAACATATGAGGCAGGCCTGAGATTGTCTGTGTTAGTGATACTAGCATGAGTCAGAACTATGGGTGCTGGTGGGAGGCCCTTTGAGGGCAATAGTCTTTCAAGAAAAGCCCCAGTGATGCTTTGAAGGGATGCCCTTACCCCTGAAGGCACTTCCACTATAGCTGAGCAACAGGGCGAATTGTAAAAAGTCTGCAACTTATGAAAGGGGACCTCCTCTTCTTCTAAGATAATCCAATCAATGGTTTGGTTGTTGGGATGCCGTATCTGACAAATTTACTAAAACTATTGTGCAGCATACATTTAAAACACTGGAGGAGGCAATTTCAAGGAGGTGCAGCTCCTACCCAACACCTGCAGGTTGAAGCAGATGGAATGGCTGTTATTAATGAAGAGGTTTCAAGGTGGGGAAGAAACTGGATACTTGCAGCTCTATTTTACATATTCTTGATCCATTTTCCCATGAATGCAAGGGGGGGGGATATACTTGGGAATGATCTATTGCCTACAAATATGGTATGGTTTATGGACCATTAAAAAAAAAGCAAACACAATTATGCTCCTAAGAACATCTCTAAAACGAGTGAAGCCCTAGGTACATATGCCTTTCCAAGGCAATTTATACGCCCCACGGAAGAAGAGGATATTTCTCAGCTGTATTTTGATGTCTTCACAGTGGAAAGAAGTGTTCAACCTAGTTGATAGAAGACAGTAACTCCACTGAATGGCAGAAGGGGACATTATTTCAAGAAGCAACCATCAAGTTTTCAAGAAGCCGGCAACTGATGACTCTTCCACACAAGATAGATGGAATGGAAGGTGCTCTAAGGAGTTGTGCTGGGGGGGGGTGTAGAGTAAACTATAGAAAGACTCTCGTCATTTCAGCTATCAACATGCTGTTGGTCAGAGTGTTTTACATGTGACAGAGTTGAGAGGAAAAGCCATCTTTGCTCTTTCTATAGTATTCCTAACACAACCATATCTGACTGGAACAAGAATTTTATCTGTCTCCACTCATCCCACACCCAAAATAGCGAAGCTTGATTAACCTTTGGTGGATGACTGAGAGTCTCTTTTGCAAAGAGGAGTTGATATCACCAATATAGGGATAAGGTAAAAATGTTTTTTACATGGCTCACAAGACATTTAAGGGCACCCAACTGATTTTCCAAGCCCTCTTGCAACCAAGGGTCAACCTTTTCTGTTTGTTGCAGGAGTGTGATAAATGAACTTTGAGCCCAAATAAGCTAATCAGCCTGGAACAGTAAGGTCAGGCAAGTTTCATTTAGCATTTTTCCAGCATAACAAATCTTGGAAGACACTTCAGCTTTCAATCTGTGATTATGTAATTAAAGGATAAAGGATTTTGTCATCTTTCTTGAAGTTTTTTTGATGTATGAAAACGATATTACACAATCTATACAAATCTACTCTGAAATCATTCCTTTTGTGCTCTGTGGAGCTTATTCTTTGGTAAGTTTGCATAGGGCTGTCACCCTTGCCTTCTAGTTTGGAAGCATTTGTGAGCAATTACATTTGAACATCATTTTCCAAGCGGCTGTCTGCTGCTCTCTGTGGGGTTTTGATGTGGCATGCCCTCCCACTCTACAGGAACATCCAACATACCCAGCAGGCAGCAGACCTCTGCGTACAGTGCTGCTGTCTTTCTCTGTCCTTTCCAGGTACCTTCCCCATAGTGAAAACAGGGCCCCACCCCCCACCCCAAACCAGGAAAAAACAGCATTTGCTGATTTTTGTTTAGCCTGTTTTATATGTTAAACTGCTGGTAGGGATATTTGTTTAGTAAGGATTTTGTTGATTTATATAATTTTGATTTAAATTTGTTAGCCACTGGGGGGGGGGAGCTGTGAAATGGCCAAAAGGAAACATATCAGCATCTTAAATAACTTAAAACAATCCTTGCTCCTTACTCACTCAGATTTATATATTCACAGAACCTGCAATGCTGGCCTTCTATGGGAAATGTTTACTGGGTTGCAGCTAGGGAAACAAGCTGGGAACAAAATTCCACAACAATGGAGTAATTGAGAGTGATCCTAAACAGATCTACTCGGTATCCTACTCAAGTCTACTCAGTGGGACTTACTCCAAGGAAAATGTCCTAAGGTTTAATACTTAAACCTTAATACTTACTCCACTAGTACTTACCACACAGTTTTGGCTCCATATTCTGTAAAAGGTGAATATCATTGACTTCTCTGGGATCCAGTGAAGGGAATGCTATTATGGACACTGCTAAGGTGAGGATAAAAGTTGCTCTACACATTATGACAGCAGTATCATAATTCCCTAGGTAAATTTATTTAATCTTGAAATAGTACATTTGAGGGCTTCTTCCTACTCTACTCCAACCATGAACAATCTCTCATTTCCTTTACCATACATGCATCCTATTGATCCAAGATAGATATCCTTACTAGAGTAGTCCTGAGGGTACATTACCTGCAGAACTATTGCAAACTGATGCACATCTTGTCCATCTATTCTACACATTCTGATAACATAGATGAAGTGCAAAGAGCTTTCAGAAGTTGAGAAGTCCCTTAGTACTTCAGGGGGCAGAGATTATTTGGTCTGCAAGGAAGGACCAAAACAGTACCACTGCAGAGGACTAACATGCCAGCACAGGAAAGAAGGTAGCCTTCCTGTCCCACTTTACCCTGGCACCACATCAAGAGTGAGTGTGTTAACACACACTAGAAACTGGCTGGGTTTCTCAGCTCTCCACAGAACATTCTTATAATTAAATGAACATTCATGCCATTAACCTACAGCTGGGAGTGGTAGGGGAGGTATTTATACTTGTTGAACCTCTGCCTGTAGCACAACAGCACATGACCTTTGTTTTTAAGAGGGTAAAAAAAACCCATCCTACTTTTTATTTATTTTTATTTAGAGATTTTTATTCTGCCCTCCCCAAAGCTGGCTCAGGGCAGATCACAAAAAACCAAGTTCAAGACGTGTTACAATAAAATCACATTAAAATCATTAAAATAATAGACAATAAAATTGCACAGATAGCAACAATTTCATATAAATCTGTTGGGGCTACAAGATGGAATCAATGGGCCCTTTCAGTGGTTTGGGAACTAGAGCAGGGAGGCCAACTAAAGTGGATGCCTGCCGCCTTACCCCTTCGGCGGAACAGCTCCATTCTGCAGGCCCTGTGGAATGGAAGAAGGTCCTGCAGGGCCCTGATCTCCAGTGGGAGCTGATTCCGCCAGGGCAGAAAGAGCCCTGGCCCTGATCGAGGCTAAGCGGACGTCATTTCGGCCAGGGGGGTAACCAGTAAGTGTTGATCCTGTGAGCGCAAGGCTCTTCGGGGCATATAGGGGAAGAGGCAATCCTTCAGATATGTCAGTCCCAGGCCATGTAAGGCTTTGAAGGTTAGTACCAACACCTTGAAATTGATCCAGTATTCAGTTGGTAGCTAGTACAAGTGGCACAATACCGACCGAATACAGGCCTGCACAGTTTTTGTGTATTCACATATACTGTCAAGGAACCCTGTGCCCCAGCTTCAAGCCCTGCCTCACACTCTCGTCTGCCTTGGAATGTTTCATTATGCCCACCCCTTCCTGTTCAGACTTTAACACTTCCACGCTTATCTTCACAACCATAGGGACTAGAAACATGTTTTGCTTTTATAAAGGAAAGTTATGATTCTATAGATGCAGAATTTTGAGCCTGTCAAATTGTGACTTTTCCTATGCTTGCATAGAAACACAGAATATTCTCAGCCCCCTTCTATTATGACCATATGGCATTACACTGCATCTAACAGTTAAACCATAGGTAGCCTAATCAATAATCTGGACCCACTTAAAGAATACAGGCAGCCAAATCCCCAAGCTATTCACTGAAGGTGAACTAGTGGCACTAGTGACTCCACAGGCAGCACAGCCCCCAACCTGCCCACCCCCCTCATGCTTGAAAGTGCCTCTACCCAGCCTAGTACCTCATATCTCAGGAGCTCAATAAACATGTGTTTCCATAGCAACCAGTTCCGGCTGCGCTCACCGGTTGTGGACTTCTCCCACTAATGAGATGAAACAAGAGACGTTCTCTTCACTCAGTAAAGCAGGAAGGAAATGTTTGGCTTGGAAACCTGTTGCGGGTTGGGGGGGAGGGGACTGAGAGACTGCCAGTTCTGCAACAGAGCATAGAATATCCCACTGTTTCCAAAAAGTCAGGGCAAAAATAAATAAACAGAATACAGCACACACAGTCAATAACACTGAGTAGTTAACTTTAATATGATTATAATGGACCAGCTGTTTATGCTGGACATGAATCATTCCATTAGTGGCAAATGGTTATAAATTTTGTCACAGGGCAGCCACATTTTAAAAGCCTGAAAAGATTGGAGCCTTCCAGATTCCCAGTTTGGTATTCAGCATCCTGATCTCACAAATCACTGAACAATCATCAGGATGAACTAAGTCTTGGGTAGGTACTCATTTGGTAGATGACTCCGGAAGGTAGAAGTACTTGCTCCAGGGGCTCTGAACACAGTACAGAAAGAAAATATATGATAAGTTTTTTAAAGGTATAAACTTTAACATTATTAAGTACCAATGACTTTCCAGAGCTCTGGGAAGATCCCCCCCCCCATATTTTAGTGTATAATTGAAATTATAAGTTGGTGAAAAACTCATGTAGAAAACATTTATGGGCAAGGCCTCTAGGCATCCCATGTGTGTGCAACATCCCACATTTATACAGACCATATTTATTTATTTACTTAAGTCATTCATTGTCTTCCTATTGCAGCAGATGAAATACCCTCACAAGGACTGTTCACTTCCAGGAGTGCTCCATAAATGCAGTAAATGGCCACAAACCACCAAGTGTCCCTTTTGTCACTGGTGAAACTCATTGCAGGACATTCCATATATCCATATCATTTGCTGAAACAGGCAATCTTTTCCTTCAACAGCCTCTGCCCATTTTCAACCCAGCACCAATATCTGAACCAGGAGTCCTGATTTTCAACCATTGTAAGTTTCACAGCTGTGTTTAGCTTTGCAGACTTACATTCCCAACATACAGAACAAGCAACCATGGCACACTGTCCCAAATCAACCAGGAAGGAAACCTCATGCTTACTTATTTACTTCATTCATACCCACCTTTCTCCCCAACAGGGAACCAAAGAGCCTTATGTCACTCTCCATCATTCTCCACTCCTCTTGAGGATTACTCTGAACAGGAACTAACATTACTTGAGGAATTACTTGACTTTCTCTTAAAATATTTTCCCTGAATGTGTCCTTTGGTGAATGTTCTAGGGTGAATTCATACCTTTTGCAAATAGTGGTCTCAATCTGTTCAGTACCAGATTTATATTCTGCTAGTCATTCATCATGTGGTACTTTACAATTTGAAAATATCATATTTCAATATTTTTGCAATGATACATTGAGAACATTAGCTGCTTAAACAATACCTGGTTTCATGCAGTGGTTTTAACAAAATATAGTTGGTTAAGTAGTGGACACCCTCCACTTAAATAAATAGGCATTTATTTATATTTGAAAGTTCAGAATGAAATGAAGGTGTGGATCGGCAATTTAAGGATCCAACTAAATTTAACATGATGTTTAAATACAGTCCTCCTTACCTTATAGCTCAAGCTACCAAAACCTTGGAATGAACCCTATTGGGTCACATACCCAAACAGCTGAAAGCATTAATCAATACAATTAATTGCCTTATCACAGATCAAAGCTGCTGCTTGCTAATCACAGATACTCCCTACAGAAGGATTTTGGTGCTCATGACATGTAAACCATCTACAATAATCCCTTGATCAGAGAAATATATTTAAGTTGATCTTTCAAAATGACGAGCTCTGTACTTCTACAGATCCCATTGATTTCAGTGGGGCTTATGTAGGAGAAGTTTCCCAGCAGACTGCGCTCAAAAGCCACTGCCAGGCATCACCTGGCAATAAGAACATATTTTGTAGATGCTTTAGGAACTGGAAGTGGAAAAAAAACAGGAATGTTAATTTAGATGTCAACCTAGCTATTTATACTGTTAGTAGAGAGGAAAGATTGTGCTATTTTTAACATTCACACCGTTTCCTGCAAGCTGAGTCTCACAATGGTTCCTAGGAGGGAGAGTGACCTCTCTGATTGCCTTTAGACTGCCCTCTCATGCTCACAGCCGGTCCAACATTCTGCAATACCATCTGCAAGCAGGTGGTGGCTCCCAAGCTGTGCTACTATTGAAATGGCCATGACTGCATTTCAAACCCCCTGGGTAAA